AGTTTGTGGCCAGAGATTCAAGAAGTTTTGCCCAGGTGGTGGGAATTATATGTCGTAGCAGCCATTCATCCCATTCTGCAGGGCTCTTCTCTTGTATCAAAGTATCTGCAAGCGTAAGAAGTCTTGCACGATCCGGGGAGAGACTGAAAAGACCATGAACGTGGACGGGCTGATTGATCGGTATGGGCAAGGGAAAAACAGTGAATAAAGATCCATTGAAATCAGCGGGGCAGTCAACCTAGAATTCTGTCAGCATGTATTATAGTGTTATGTTTTGGGAGACAAACTGATGTCGCAATTCCAACCCAAGGTACTAAATGCTCCTTCACTGCCCATTGTCGCATCTTGTTGTCCATCAGATCTCCTCTAATGCTATGATAAATCCGGAAGCTTCCATGCTTTGGCGGCCCGTCACCATATTCTGAAGTAAGGCTAACTTGGAAGGTGTGCTCAAATGAGAAATGAGAGTCTTGTAAACTCTTTTTGATGGCCTCATTAACTTTAATCTTGTTCCTATCCACGGAAATGTTAATTTGTTTTGACCTTGTGAAATTTACAAGAAATGAAGCGAAATGTGATACCTACAGGCGAACCTTGGCTTCATCGCAAACAAACAGCTTGATGGAGGGACCAGATGTAGAGCCAATAGATATGCTTTCAACATTCTTCATGAACAGCAGACCATTCTTTCCAAACTCGTCTGCAAAGTTTTTCAAGACCTCCTTGATATCTTTTATTGTGGTTTCTTTGTCGGAGATACCACTTTTAATGGCATGTTCTTTGGTACGCAAAGGTATTCGGATAATTGTGCCGTCAAATGGCTTTTTTGAGTCCTTCATGATTGCTCGGAAAGCGGCCATGTGGTTTTTCATACCAGGATCATCAGCACCCTTAACAAAGTTGAAACGGTCTCCGCCTTCTTACCATTCCTGATGAGGGTCCAGCATTGTGAATTGATCACCAGATAGAATCGAAGGTGAGTCTGTGTAGTTGTAAACCTGAAAAGCAAGCATATGCCGAGCTTTGTACTCCAAGCTGACTTACTGTATTGAATCCTCGTCCAAACTTGCCAGTGGTTGATCCATCCTCATGCTTGAGAGATTCCCCAAGTTGAGAGAGACTGACGAAATCTTTTTCGGTGAAAAGAGCGCTGTTGTAAGCCAATAGGGCAGGTCCTTGGAATTTTGCAAGACAGGGGCTCTGGAGAGGCGCTGCGGAGTAAGTTTTCTCGTCTAGAAAAAACCACTGTCGGTAAAATCAGCTTCAGATCGATGTCAAGAAGATACTTGGTGAATACAAACCACGTTCCTTGCGCCAGCATCGTCCGCATTTTGTAATACAATAAAGATCTCAGTAATTGCGCCTCAAGTGGGAGACATTAACTTACACTCTCTGGGACACAGAGTTAGCAGATGCGTGTTTGCAGGATTGATTCAATACTGACCTAAGTACCCCGCCTCCAGCAGGATAGTCGCGACAGCTGATTTTTAATGTGACCGTCAAGCGCTGCCGCTGCGCGTTTTGCGCCACGCGCTCCACGACCATGGTTGGATTGCTCTTCCAGTTATGAGTTGGGTATGCAAAAGAAGGTGTGGTTGTGGTTGCGATTGTGGGCGTTTGAAGTTGTAGGTTGTAGAAGGTTGAAGTAGTAGGTTACGGCTACGTCTGTGAAGGTGAAGGTGGATGAGTTGGATGAGGCGAGTCAAGGATGGTAGATATGGAGAGGGGAAAGCTAAGCGAAGAAAAAAGGAACGCCGGTGAATGAAAAGCTGCACTTGCACCTGCAACAAAATGCATGGAATCAAAGAAAGCCAACGGGCGAAGACCTTGGGGAGTCTACATCTTTCAAGTCTGCAATTACATAACTACAATTGAGGCCTTTCGATAGGCTTTTGTAGGGTTTCATATGCATTCTCAGCCCTCAATATCAAGTGAATGAGGCACAACGTTTCATAATCAGTTGAATTGACACCCGTAAAAATGGTATAAATACGGGAACTATACCCACCAAGGGTGAAACTTCTAGTCAGTAAGGCAGACCTGAGTTCTACAATCTTCCCAATTGCTTACAGAGTGTCATTTTGGTTCACTGGATCGGAAAGAAGGGGTCGAGAGGTCGAGCGACCGCCGACCAACAAAGTCCATTTTCACTTCCTTTCATAGGTCACGAAAATTCAACGATTACTTGAGGTAAGAAGTCTGACATCATGAATGGTGGAACAGGCTTTAATGATGGCTAGTGAATAGCTGTTGGTGAATAGGCGATGTCAAGGCAGAGCTGGTGAAGCGATGTTCCCGTCGGGTCTATTGCTGGCCCGGGGTTGCGATGTAATCACGTGACCAACAACAGGGACAAGGGCAGTTTATATTTGGAAGACGTTTCAACTAGCTTGAAGCTGTATTGGTTGGATGATAACATAAAATGGGAAAACGGCGGAGGTTTCAAGGTCACGTGAACGGCTTTGCCTGAAAAGGACCTCGGGACCGTAGCAAAAGCTGTAAGTACAGGAAGTGATTTATGTCGTTCCGGCGTTCTGATACATGATTCCATTAACTAGAATGTTTCAAATAATCGTGTCTTATAATCTTGAGGGTCTTAGAGTAATCACTTCAATTGTCTGGAGAGTTAGCTTCACGAAAGCTCAAGCAGTATGTTGCTAATATACCGCCACTAGCCGCAGTTTGTTTTTGCAAACCTCAATTTAACTTTCTCGCTGTTCTATCGTTTTACCGCTTTTTTATTTTGGGCAACAGAAACTCCGGGTTCTGTTGATAGATTGGTTTGTTAGTAAAGGTTCTACTAAGATTTCCACCAGCTACTCGGCGGCAAGTCCTCCATTCTTGTCAGTTTTAGAACCGTGTAGTATAGCATATTACCATGGACTTTTATAGTTGGATTCTTTCTGAACTTTTACAAAAAGTTATAACTCGTCAATCGTAGCACCTGTCTGTCTTGAATATCAAAAACCACTGTTTTATAACTATACATATTTACAAGACGCTACTTTGTATGATAAAACAACAACGTAGCAAAGCTTAGAACAATTTTCCCATGTATCTTTCACATCGTCCATAATTCGTTCATCTCAGACCCTGCCACTCGCCACCATTTGAACTCCTGTAAGCCAAACATACTGTTATATACACACTTGAGGTTTTCGGCCCCATGCGGCTTCCAGAAAAGGCCAAGAAATAGTTTGCGTCAACAACAAAAATCGTGTCTTTCAAATTTACATGGTCTATATAGTTCGAGAATACATTTTTTACTCAAGTTAACATCAACAAAGAGTCCGCGAATGAAGTGTAAGACATCTTGTAAGATTACGGGCTGAAATATGAAGTTCTCAGGAAGAAAGATAGTTGAGAAATATTGCAGAGCATTCAGTAGTTGCTGCACTCCTCAAAAATACCATAAACTCTCTATGATCACTCTTATTTCAGAACTGACTGCCCTCGAAAACTTGCTGACGTGTGCTTTGTCTTACTTTGATTCGGAACCTAACGGCGGCTCTCTTGAGGCTTCGATTGGGACACTCGAGATTGAAGCCCCCCTCGTAATTTTCCCAGTTGCTTTATCACGCATTACAAAAATTTAAAAATGAGAAGCTTTGAATTCTAATAACAATATTGGCCTGTTGTTGAATCTATATCCAGTCTTTTCGCCGACGTCTTGCGTCGTGACGGGCTCAAAAACCGCTCTATGAGAGCAATTTAGGATAGAAACACTTAAATGAACACAAGGTAAAGGGCCTCATGACAAGAAAACGTATAGGTTTGACTTGTAGCCCGCGTCCTGGAAATACGAAATACTATGGCGCAAAAGGAGAACCGTACTACACACATGAGTACCATCTTTTCACGTACATGTCATCCCTAGGCGGACCCTAGATCTGGGGTGCGTTTATAGCCTTTGGTAGTTGTGTAGTACATACCTTGAATCTTTTTTGTTTTTACAGAAATCAAAAGAGTTGTACTGACACCAACTTTGCAGATCCGACAAATAGGTTCCATGTTTGTAGAGATGGGGAGTTTTGCGGGGAGGCAAGAGCATTTTCATTCCGAAAGTTCCGAACGTGGTATCCTACCTATCAATGGAACTTATTTACGCCATCTCTTTTCAAGTACACGTACATCAATGCCGTCTACTTGAAAACTTGTAAGTAAAGTAAAGGGATAAGGAGAGAATTGGCTAGAATTATGAGCTGTTGGTGGGAGCGTGTTTTGGTGTTGAAGAACGATCAAGCGACAAGCACTAGATACATACCTCGATTTCTTTTCTGGCATGTCTGTCAGTATTGCAGGCTCGGCGAGAATTAAATTCCTTGTTCTTGTTCTTCGCTTCATAACATATCTCTGACTACATGTATAAGTGTTTTTGGGGTCGGAACTTCACATGATATTAATATCTAGTCTATATATATGGAGAATTCGGGCTTTATAATGAACTTACACATTACCAATACTCCGTAAATTTCCGCGTTTCTTTGAGTTGGTGCTAAAATAATAATGAGCAAGCCATGTTCCGGCCCGAGCCGAAACCTCAACTCCACTTCGTCGACGATCACCCATGATCTAGAATGGCGTCGCGTCCTCGCCCCTCAACTTCACACAATGCCCTCGATTCCGGAGGTCTATATACTTCCTGCTGATCCACCCTGGGTTCTACGTAGCGTACGCACACCCAAATGTTCTTCTTACCCCTCCCAGCAGAAACAATGCTAATTTTGTGGACTCAGAGACTCCCCTCGTTGCAGACTTCAACTGCACAGCATTGCGATTTCTCACGACTCTCGGCTTGCAATGCAATGGCATCGAATCCACAATCGTATCCTCGCATTCTGAACGAAATAGAATTTACAGCCGAAGCCAGATATACATAATCAGAACTGCCAGAGGGCTTCCAGTTGGGATCAGGGTGTTCCTCATATTCTTACGAGATTACGAATAGCAGAGCATGGAAAGCAGAGCGGGCACAAGAAAATCGACACCCAGATCAAAGAATGGATGCACACATTGCAGGCAGGTTATTGGTAGCGCAACCCACAGATGTTTACTGACTAAATGTTCTCATATACAGGTTGAAGAAGATCAAGTGCGGGGAAGAACGTCCACATTGTGCCAGATGCGTGAGATATGGTTCAAAATGTACCTATCCTCGTGATGTCGAGGTTACCAGAGGAGGTTCTTTTAGCACTTTCGCCGTCAAGCCGATTACGCCTCCACGCAAAGGCCAGTCCCATGAAACGGGCCACAGAACTGTATTCTGGCAGGATACAACCATCCGGTAAGCTTTGGGTTCGATCATGAATCCATATTCTGTTTTTATTTTTCGCAGTCCTAAGTCTTTTTTCCTTAGATCCTGCGAATCCCCCGTCTCTTCGTCGCCCACATCAGACCAATCCTCGTCGCAAGAAGCGGACACAAACTCGAAATTGTTCCCCATATATAAATATCGCATTCCCATACCAACCAAGACTACACTTCCCCTCGTAATCCCAGGAACACAAGCCGAACGCCATCTTTTTCACTATCTTCGTATCCGAGTACTTCCAGATACTGGTGGCTCTTCCAACCATAACTTCTGGAGAGTTGCTGTCCTTTCTCTTTGCCATCAAAATTCCGTTGTCAGATCGGCTGCATTGTCTCTGGGCTCTTTTTATCTTGCAAAACATTCCGAAAACTCGTCTGATGGTCTCAAAGCCTTGAAACAGTATCATTTTGCGTTGCAAGCAGCACGAAACTACCTGAGCAACCGCACTGAGCCTTTTGACGGTCCACTTTTGATAATATGCCTTCTGTTCTACACCATCGAAACCGCTCGGGGAGAATACGAAGCTGCATCCAACCATGTTCTTGCGGGGTTGAGAGTACTGAGAAGTTGGAATCATAATGATAGGACTAGCGATATATCAAAGTCGAAAAGATTGGGCGAATTCAACGACATCAGCATCCGTCTCGCCGGCCTTTTCAGTTCCTTGGACGCAAATATGCACAACGGCTCAAACTTAACTCCCCCAAATTTAGTAATGACTTCATTGGACGAGCGATCTGGTTTGAAGTCTTGTATTCCAATGCCAATAACTGGGCATGCAGACGCTGCCAGATCTTTCGGCAAACTCAACAACTGGCATCACCATTTTCTTGCTTCGATTGCGAGCATCTCGCCCCCTGTGTCCCTTGATAGATTACCGATACCTGTTAGCAATGAACTTTCATATTTGATGGAAAACATGGAGCGTTGGGAGACCTCCAGTGACCATTTAATCTTACCAAATCAATCGTGGAAACAGATTGCTGATACCACCTGCCTTAAAGTCCTCTGCCTAAGGAACAAAATCCTCTTCCACAGTACTTTGGCTTCTCTCACATCCAGCCCAATGCTCATTGATGTAAATCAAGATTTCAATCGCCTTCTGGACATGGTTTCCATGACGACAGATGCGATGGCAGGGAGTCCCGAGAGGATTGAAGTAATCAAGCCTTCTCTATTCATGAGTTGTATTCTAGCTCCTCTGACGCTTGTTGGCATTACTTGTAGATCAAATGAGATGCGTAAGAGAGCGGTGAGACTGTTGAAACTGTGGCCGGTCGAGGAAGGCATTTACGATGGGAAGAAATTCGCTCGAGCTTTCGAGATGGCAATGGATGTCTCTCGGCAGGTAGATTTGGAGAAAGACGAAGACACTCAACTCAGGCTGTTCCGTGCAGCATTTATCAATTTCTTGAAGCAGGAGACTGGGATTTGCCTGCCTCCCAGCAGCGTATTCACGTTTCCAGCTTGATTCAGAGCCAGGCGTGCAAGCAATGAGCTTGAAGTGCGTCTTTCCCGGATAACTTAGTCTCCCGAGAAAATTTTAGAAAGTACACCAGCCAGTTCTCGGAGGAATTCGACGAATTGAGATGGTTTTATCTGAAGAGGATCAGAAAATTGATACGGTTATTTCAATAGACTCGAACCAACAAAGTATTCATCTTGAAATATTCAGACTATTAGCTTAATTATTTCCCCCTTCGAGGCTAGAATAATTGGCTTGAAGCTTACTTCTTTTTCAGAAGTCATTTACAATATACAAAGCAAAGATTCTACAGGACTGGGCACAATGCAAGAGTGGACGATTTTTTCATGGTTTCTCATTGCGCTACTGTAAACCCTCAAGAAGAAACAACTGACTCGAGTACTGCGAGAAAATACACCAAGAAAGCATCAGACGCACACTGGAGTTATCCCATCAAAACCAGCTCGACGATTTCCCTCCCTCGACAACTATCTAAATCACTTCTTCATACCCTTCCACGCTCTCCCAAATGAGTTTCACATCTTTGCTTGTATTAGGTTTCCCACTAGTACTAGCTCAGACTGGGCGTTCCTATCAGGTACTTTCCTGATACTTACATTAGATGTTTACCTCAAATGAGGCCGCAGAAAGAATATGAAAGTAGTGGAAAGAAGAGTCTCAAGTGATAGATGAAAATCGACGCAGCCAGAACGTCGGGACTCAGCGTCTCACCCTTTTCCCACCATTACAACAACCCATTCCCAACCCTTTACGAGAAGAGATTCCACCAGATGACCGCAGTCGCAACACCAACCGCGGTTGTCACCGCACTTCGTACAGGGTCCAACTTTCCAATTGCAACTGTTACATCAGGCCCAGTACTGTGATCATCATAACATTGTCCTTCTACAACTCCTTTCAAATACATCACAGCTGTACCTGATGCCTTCAATGGCGCATTGAACCACTCGTCAAACTCGTCCCACTCAGCATTGTCCGCTCCACCTTCAATAATTGAGCCGATCTCGAGCACCGGGATTGGCAAAAGGACCTTGGAATAGGATCTGACAGGCGCAATAAGATCGTTAAACTGGGGTGTCAAAACTCCCGGTGAATATATGAGCGGCCTGCCTTGGGAACTGTATGTGGCGATGGCTCGAGTTTGCGGTGGCTGGACGAGGTTTCCTCTAATGACACAAAACATCATGACACACATGATAGCAGCGAGAAAGATATCCGACATCTTTCGGCACCAGTTGGCAAATTTGGTTGAGGGCTTAAGCTTCTGCCTGGCGATATGACACAATTCACGCTCAGTGGATGCTCTTTTCCTCTCGATCCTCGCGCACGTAGTGAGCTCGATGCATTGTGCCTGAAGATAAAAGATCTTTTGGGTGTGGTAGTAATCGTCCTCCTCCTTCCCGAGACGAAAGGCTTCGCTGGAATCACGAGCGACCTTTCGTGCCTCGACACATTTTGCATTGCTGCACCATCGAGTCATTCTCTCCTTTGGAATGGGTATCTCCTTTTGGGAAGGAGCCTCCTCTTTCGTAGGCGTCGCATGCTCATTGGTCGGCTTCTCGCCATCTTTCGTAGGCGTCTCGTCCTCCTTTTCGGTCGGCAATTGAGGTTTAGGACGATTTCTGTGGCGGTCCTTCTTTTTCTTGGGTGCTGTTGTTGGACCAGCTTCGGCTGATTCAACTCCTTCGAGAGCAGCCTTATCCAAAGCATCTGCGCCTGCACCTGCGTCTGCTCCTTCTGCGGAGTGTAGAACAATGCCGATTTCTGCCGCAATGGCGTGCGACTTGGATACGATGGCATCGAGGGCATTGCGAAGATCCTCAGATGATTCCGCCAGGTTTTCCTGGGCGAAACCACCCTCCTTGATCGCTTCTCCTCTTTTCCTCATTGCGAGAAAAAGATCTACCACCGAGAAGAGCTCCTTCTGAAGCTGGCTCTCCTGTCCCCTTGCCACAATCTCCAGGTACTCAACCTCACTGTCACGAGAAGCCAAGATTGCTTCTCGACTCTTTTCGAGGCTTGCTAGGAGGCCGAGACGGTGCCTACAACCGTCGCTGAGCCCCGCGCCCCAGTCCCATTCCTCTTCGTAGGCTTCGCATTCTGGAGTAATACCTACAAAGGTTGACATGGCTACGAGCTCTCTCTCTGACGGGCTGTTCTACACCTCTTGGATAGTATTCTTTGAGGAAAAGGACACAAGGGCTCCTCACACCATCCCTGAAATGACGTCTCTCTTTGGAAGAAGAGCCTTCTTTAAGCGCCTTCCTAAGTGAGTGAGAGCCTCATTTTCTTTGTTGGTCTAACGGCAATTTAGGACAACAAAGGAATTAAACCCTTCTCTTTGATCAGTCTTTTTTGATGTTTCTGAAAATACGACCAAAAGTATTTAGAGTCCTTGTTCAGTGTCTAATGGCTTAAGGAAGCAAAGGTAGCTAGCTAGACTACAAACGCTTATATGCCAGCGCCGAGTCACGTGAGTAAACCGAACGTGACTGTAGCGACATGGCATTGACATTGTGCCTCTCCCGATTTCGACCGAGTAACTCTCCCTCGTACTTGGGAGCCATTGTTCGTTGGTTTGGTCGTGGTGGTCGTGGTGGTCGTCAAGCTCCTGACATCAGGATGAGCAGAGGATACCTGTCAAGGGTCGTGAAAGAAATTAGTGCTAATTTGCTAATTTGGTGGCTGGGTAAAGTGAAGGTGAATTGAGAAAAAACTTCAATGTTGCTGACGCCGTGGTAGAAGTCTTTTCAAGCAGTGAATTACTATGTCGGTAGTTGGTTTATAAGCTCATTTCCCAGCTACGGTATAATATGTAGCTCTCTTGCTATAATTTGACAAATTCAATATTATTTATTGTTTACTAAATGGATTATGAAATATAATTATCTTTCGGAGTTCAAGGAATAACAATTATTATTATTATTATTATTCCTTTTAACATGCTGTGTGAGTCTGAGACTATAGTAGCACGGCTGGGGGTTTCCCTCCAACAGATGAGTAAAGCTGTACTAAATACATGTTTAAGAAGGGGGTTATGGTCATTACAGTTCTTGGGTTGTTGGAAGCAGCTAGGCTTCTGGTTATGACAAAAGAAAAGTTGTTATGTTGCAGTACGCCCCCTCGTTTCACGCCCTGTACGCTACACTTCCTCGTTCTCGTCTTCCTCGTCCTCGTCTTCCTCGTCCTCATCTTCGTTCTCATCCTCAGTTGCGCGTTGTGTGTGCCATATTCTAGTGGCGATTTTGGTGGTTCGAATAAAGTCAAGTGTGGCCTCGACTCCTTTGGCGGTGTGAAGGAGGGATTTCATGGTGAACTCTCGAATATGATGCTTGAGGAGGTTGCGCTTTAGTACTTTCCTAGCATCCCCAGTTTCTGGACAGCTAAGAAGGAGGTGAGTGGGAGTCTCTTGTCTTCCACATCTACAGCGGTTGTTGGTAGTGTGGCCGAGCTTGTGTAGGTATGATTTGAAGTATCCATGGCCTAGCTTAAGCTGATAAAAGGCGCTGGCTATCTCTCTTTTTGTTCCTTGGGGGACGCAAGGTTTCAACAGAATCTTCCATGGGAATTCCCTTCGATACGAGTGTTGGTTAGTTGATGGTTCTGTGTGCCGGGGGGTGTAGTAAGCTTTTGACGCCATTCTTTGTTCTGGGTCTGCCTGATCTTGACTCCTAGCATAGCAAAGCTGGTGAGTTGAGTGGATGGTTGGATTGTGGTGGCGGCTTTTGCAAGCTTGTCTGCTTTCTCATTTCCTGGAATGTCGCTGTGACCTGGTACCCAGTGAATTGTGGTAGTAGCTCCCTTGCTAACTAACTGCCTTCCGGGCAGCTGTGATAGCTCTGATTTGGCACTCTTGCCCTGGGTTATCTGATGTGGTTTTTAGCCTCCGTAAACCTGCCTGGTTGTCGGAGTAGATGTGGAAATGGATCCCTGGTCTAGCGTGCTTGGCAGCGTATTCAACTGCTAGCGTGGCCCCTTCAACTTTACCGTTGTAGACGAGCTTGTTTGGTCCAATGTTGAATTTCTTTTCGTAGTGGATTCTGTTTGATTGAGGTGAGATTACAGACAAACCTACCCCAATTCCTTGGCTATTTTCTGTTCTGTCAAGCAGGAATTTAGCATTGTATTCTTCTGCTGCTGTAAGGACAAGGTTGTTGTTTCATGATCTGGAGACTGTGCTAATTGCGGGGCTGACATTAAAACGAGCTTTGAATTCCTTGTTAATAGTGTCTCTGAGGGTAATTGGTTGTAAGTCGCTAAATGGTTGAAGGTGGTCTTCAATGAGAATGACACGCTGGGCTTTAATGGCTTTCTTTTTCTTAGTAGCAGTTTTTTTAAAAGCGTCTCTCTTCTTGTCCATGTTTGTTTTTTGAGGAGGAGCGTGGTCGAGTTGCCGGTCTATGAGGCCTTGAGTACTGTTGTCTGTGTCTGTGTCTGTGATAGGTTTGTTGTTTGTGGTTACCGATGCGTAGCTTCTTTTAGGAAGGCGCCTTGCGATGTTCTCTAGGTTGTTGACTGAGTTGGTAAGGGTGGTAATTGTGTTTTTGAGTGGTTTTCCCTCGGTATAGTCCCGGAAGAGGTTGAGTAGGTCCATGAGAGCGAGTTTCTTGGGCTGGTTGTCTTCAAGCTCAATCGCCTTACACAGAAGGGACCTAGATGCTATAATTGCGTCATCGGAGGTTTCTGGGTGGGACATGAGGGCGTATTTTGAGGTTAAGTTCAAGGATTGGTTGCTTCTTTGTCTTTTGGCTTGAGGCTGGGTTTCTCTGATTCTTTGGGAGTTGTTTGGCGTGCTAATGTCTATAAAGCTAGGGTTGTTTTGGTTTCGTTGGATGTGGTTAACTGGGCTGGATGGCGCATAGCCTCCTAGGAGGTAGTCTTGGCCATTGGCGCTAGGTGTTTGGGGGATTGGAGTTCCCAGGGTGATAATTGGGTAAATTGGGCTGATGGGGAGCGTGGGCTCGTTGAAGAGTTGCATGGGTTCGTAGGCTGTTCCTTCTATGACTTCTTGTTGCCATTCCGGGTTTGACTGTGTTTGGGTCGCCATAGTAGCGGCGTTGGTGGTGTAGGGGTTGTGAGAGGTCAGAAAGAGGGGGTGAAAATTTTTCACGTGATCTTTTGACGGATATATCTCTGCCACCAGAGGGGCAGGCCTCCTGGGAGGAGAGGGGAGTGGTTGAAATTCTAGCTGCTATCGTTTGGTTGAGCGGGATTGATGGAATTCGAAGAAAAGTTTTCCTCGAAAAAGTTGTGTGGTGAGATTGGGACTTTGAAGGAATAACAAGAAACCTCTATTATTTTAACTTTTATTTATAAATTTTATTATCTTATCTTTCTAAGTAATTAAATTAGTATATTAGATAGTTAGTTTAGTATTATATTTAATAATTATAGAAATGTTTAGAGAAAACTCTATTGTTACTTACGATTAACTTATTACGTTAAAGAAGCAGAATAATTTTATCTAATGAGCTTTATGTAGTATAACTACTTTATTAGTAATTTTAAGTACAAGGGTTAAGTTAAGTGGGTACTACTACTTAGATTAACTACTCGAAATTGTTACGCTAACTTTGATTAAAAGCTCTAATAGGTAGTGTAAGTATATAATACCGGGTGTAATTAAAGTAGGATTACTAACGATTTCAAGATAGGAGGAGGTATAAGTATATCACTTAATGTTAATTTCGCTTTGGACGACATGTATTGGATACTGTTCTAGGGGTCGATCTGTGTTACTCTGTACAAACGAGGAGGACTAGCAAAATGCCGGGCATAAGAGTAGGGAAAGCTTCTTCATAAACGAGCTATACCTACATATTAGAGGCTCTCAGGCTGACTAAAAGACAAGAAGCGGCAACGCCTGTCTATACTACTCGTACATCCGAAGAAGGAAGGAGTGCTATCCTCCGCTATTGGTCTGACGTATCGTTAAATGGGGGATGTTATAGACCTATATTATGTGGTATAACTAAGTCCCGTATTATTAAATACCGAAGCAAGTATAGCTAGGTAAGTTGCTACGTACTTATAAAAGCCATCGTACGCTAGTCCCGAAGGAGCACTACGCACAGAGCTAGCTCACAATCATTCACTATTATAAAGTGACATCCGCCCTCTTTCCTTAATTCAAAGCTTCGATATGGCCCAGCAGAGCACAAAAGCACCGAAGGTTCTCGGCCTTGCTGTTGTTGAGTTCAAGAAAAAGCCGGATTTGCGGCTACCAAACCCTGAGTGAATTAGCTGGCTGCTTACGGCACGGCTCCTAATGATGCGCAAGGGATTGATCTCCGGATGCCCGTAACGGATGAATCGATAGAAAGGCTTCGGTAGGCTGTAAAGACTAGGAAGAAAACGAATAGAAAGACACGGAAGGTCTCTGGTGTCATTTTTGCTATACACAAAATGGTCTTGGAGTTCCGCGACTATATAGGAACCGCAGAAATATCCCCAGCTTCTCCCTTTCTCCACTGATATTCCCGTCGCTGTCGCAGATAGCTATTCTCTGTCGCTTGGTAAGGAACCAATGTCAGTAATGACTAAAGCAGTGCTTGTTTACTACTGCCAACTGACACGCGGGTGCCAAGCCATAAGCGAGAACTCGCTTGATAGGAACTGTTTTGAACTTCACCATACCTTCGCGCCCCTAGCCACAAAGTTTTACCCTGCTTTTAATGAAATATTCATTATGATCTCGCTACCCCACTGTTAGTTTGTCGCCTAGGGAATTGCCCATAGTTAGAGACCAGTCTCCTCCCGCAGATCATCCCACCACCACCACAGAACATCACCCACCACAAAATTCCCAACGACATCATCCACCTCGGGACTCCCCACAACATTTTCCATCACGATTTTCCATCTGTCCGATCTCTCCCTTCCCTCCACTGAACCCTCCAGCGCGTCGATTCCGACTCCAATCTAATTCTATCAAACATCCTACTCGCATCATATGGACCTACCGCTCCAGCCGATCAGCATGGATGATGACTGGGACCTCGACTTACCAGAACGCGACTTGGAGCTGGTACGACACTTACATGCCAAGTATGCCGACGACCGAGAAGCTCTTATCACGAACTTGAGCGATGAGCTTCAAAAGTTCTTCGACGATTATAATGATGTCAAGTACAAGCTTGCAAATGAGGAGACCACCCGGCTTAATTTGTACCAAGCCTTTGTTGCGCAGTCAGAAACTCTGGAAAAGAAGCTCGAGGCCCTAGAAAAGGCTCACAAAGCCCTAGGCGTAGATCCTGTAAGTCATCCTGAACCATCTTTGCCCGCCCCCCAGATTAGATCTCGTGTTACCAAAGGAACCTCTACGTTATTTGAGCAGTTCTATGTTCTCAATGAATTACGAGAGCGAATACTAATGCGTTACAGGCGAAAGCAGAAGAAGATCCCGATCATAAGCTGCCACGCCTTGCTATCCAGCTCGGCACGGCGGCTTTGTATAAGGATCAGGGCACCGATGCCGAAGAGCTCTATCTCTGTGACCAAAGCGGACAGGTTGGAGCTCTTCCCCCATCATCTTCGCAACTCGTTGTTTCTCAGACCACCGTATCCGGCTGCACCGGGAGTACTCTGCATGCCTGCAGTTCACTGCTGAGCAACAAATGTACTTGAGTCAACTTTGGGCGGCAAGAGAGGCGGAGGTTTTACAAAACACTAAAAGGAATTGTCAAGAAGACCTCGTAGCATCTTTTGTTGGGTCGGCACAATTCTTGGACCTCAATGCCCACCAGAAGATGTATCTAAGCTCCCTCTGGAAAGTCAGAGAGGAAGAAGTCAGACAAGATGGCCTCAGATTTTTTCAAAAAGTCGAACAAGACAAGCGCAGAATCTGTGAAGAAGCCAGACAAGATTCCTTCAGAAGATGTCAAGAGGAGGCACGACCGTTGGTGCAGCAAGCATATGAGTTGTCACAGGAATTGACACTCGCTAATGCGAGTTTGTCACAATTCAACATGGACCTCCAAGTAGCACGAGGAGAGAAGCAGCAAGCCGTAAGTTCAACACTTATTTCTACACTAATCCATTCACAATCGCTTGCTAGTCGCTTGGGTGGCACGTATCAGGGAGATGAATAGGAGAGCATGGACACGTGATCTCTGGTTTTCCTAGCTCTTTCAGAAACGCTCCTTTCACTTGAAATGGATTTGAAATACAGAATCTGTCTATTTCTATCATTATCTCTTTGGCTAGCACTCTACTGATTCTCTCTAGTGCACTAAATTTGAAGAAGAGAAAGCAAAGTTGAAGACACTGAACGAAAAACTTCTTTCCGATTGCCGATATGCTACGAGCCAATACGAAAAACTCAAAAGACCATCCGGGTAGAGGCAATAGAGAAGAAGGATTACGAAAGCTGCGTTGAGGAGAACAAGTACTTGCGGATGGAATTGGATAGCTATCGAGGAAGCGCGACAGCCCACTTTGCACAAATCGAGAAGTCGGAGGATGATAGAGACAAGGCTCTGGAAGACTGGCAGAACACAAAAGATTCGGTTGAAGATTACAAAACCCAGATTGAGGGGCTACTTAACAACAACCAAAACTTAGCTGCCACAGTCGCCACCGTGAAGACCGAGCAGGTCGAAGCCGATAAGGCTTACAAGGAACAAGAGGGCAAATTTCTTGCATTACAACGAACTCTCAGCAAGCACATTGGACGTGTTGAAAAAGATCTTGCAAATTCGGAGTCAAGCAATAAGTCGCTGGATGAGAAGGTCGAGTCCCTCGAGGCAGCCAATTCCACGCTGCAACAAAACTTCGACAACGATGCAGCTTGTTACGACCGTAGCATCAAGGAGTTTTGGGGTAGATGCGAGAAATTGGAGAAGCACAACGCTTTCCTCGTGAGAAACCAACAGAAGCCACTCGAGAAGTGCGATGAAGAGCTCAAAGAGCTGTTCAGACAAAAGGGTGCTATGGATGACGACTATGCCCAGCGGATGGAGGATAACGCTGAGTCCTTGTTGAAGGATTTCCCCACCTGTGATCAACCTGTATGTCACTTGAGATTCAAGGAGATCAACGGCAAAGTCAGATATCTTGAGGGGCACGTCAATCAAGCCGACAAGATGTATATTTCCATCATTAAGAGATCCAAGAACCTATTGGGTCTCCAAATGGACGAAACCAAGAAGGCAAAGCAGGAGTGGGTATCTGGTACTAAGCGCAAGCTGCTCCACTCTGTGATGTTCTTCGTGGCGATACTCTTTACCTTCTTCCTGGCTCTTTGCGCTCTCAGTTCCTCTTTTTCTAGCGGCATTTCGGAGGAAGCCTGCGCTATATCGTTTGAGACTAGCACAGACTTGAGTGGTCACAACTCTTCCATATTTCTGCCATCCATCACGTCTACAATTGCAGCAGAGATGCAGGGAGTTGCCGGACATGGTTTTGGAGCTTTGAGTCACCTGGGAGTTATCGATGATTTAGTTTCCAGAATCAAGGAGGCTGTGGAGGCTGAGGAGGCCGCGGCTGATGAGGGCGAAATGTCTTCTCAGGAGGCAAAGGGGGAACGTACCTCGGTTGCTGTCGGCAAATTCGTTTTTATCGTTGCTGTTGTGTGTGTGACCGCTTGGCTGGTCACTTCCTAGATGTTGCAGATGGATTTTTATATGTATGGCAAACTGTAGATGTTATGGTTGCTTTTCGGTTATTTTTTAGTGGTTATTGTCATTTCTTTTGGCTTGATGGGTCGCAGTTTCTGTCCTCTCTTTCTTCTTTTCCTTCTACTTGTGTTTTTCTATTCAGCTGATCCTGTTGTCTTCTTTCCTACGACCTTATTTGAGGGAAATATCTGATGTTAGCACGAGAAAGTACCTGATAGGAAAGCCTGGTGGGCAAGTACTGATGGGAAGCTTATGCAAACGAAGATGTGGAACTCATTTGAGAGAGCGCGGATTGAAATATGGTGAAGCTGTGGATTTATCACAGGTGGAGAATCGTAGGTTAGTTTGTGACCGCAAATTCCCCATCATGTCAATTGAATATGTAACAAGGAATTGTAGTTAGTTTTTTTCTTTTTTCTTTCTATTGTTTGTGGCGTACATTAGGGAATTACAGCAGCTTGCCATTTAACCCACGTATTTTCTATTAATGTGATTTGCGTGACTAGTAATTTAGAAAATTAAATAAGTAATACGTACCATTTTGAATAGTCATCCTCAGCAACTGCTCTTGCTGTCTTGGCCTTTGCACATCTAACCCCAATTTTATATCATCCAAGGAAAATTGTTGATTGACTTGACAAAGCAGGATAAAGTACCCAAGGACACAAGAACGAAAACCCACAAATCTCTCAAGGAGAGAGAGAAGAATATGCTGTATATTATCGTCAAATAATAAATTAACAATACCCTAGGTCAGTAATTCAGCAAAAACAAAGCCAAATTATCGGCTATGAGAAAAGGAGGAAGAATAACAATGGAAAGAGAGAAATTGGTCACACTTTTGGGTGCTTTCAGACCAGAGAGAGTCTAATAAAGTAGTAAAGGTGGTTTGGAGTGAAAGACTTACTTAGTCAGTACTTTGGACACATCTAGCTCAGAATATTATTATTTTAAAAGCCTTGTACAACTGAAATATATAGATGAATGGTCAGAACAATTGTTACTTTTTAGGTTCTCTTGACCTCGGTATACCAGGACATTTAACTCATTTATGCCAAGCTCCTGGTATCATTTGAATTCTTCACAGGGTTTGCAGAGTAATGAGCAGGTCTTTTACTCCTGTTGGTTCGATTTGGTTGGTCATCTTTATGTAAAAACAGTCGTTTGATTGTACTTAAATCTCTGGATCAGCTTGAGATACATTTACGCAGCAATCACTTGGCCCTATAACGGCATGTACCGAGTATCACGTAAGATCACAGTTCCCGTTTTCGTCTCATACCTTCCATCTAAATTCTAATCGTAGGATTTGTGCGAGAAAGAAAGAGCATTTGGATATAAGTGTATATTTCTTGACTTCCTCAGAAGTATTTAGGGTCATTGCCGAATCAGGCGATTTGGAAGCCTTTCCTGATTCAATACTCGTATTTAATCAAGAATAAAGAAAGTCTACAGAAATATTTTGATGGCCGGTGGCTCGGCTGTCCTACTCCAACTGTAGTAAGCTGCAGTGCAAAGTCGCATCATCCTTTCTAATGAATTATGCCATTCCAGATCCCGCATAATTGACAAGTGCTGCATTCTACAGGCTGCAGAATAAAGTGATCGAGATGGATGAGATTCCATCAATTCCTACTGGTTACAGATGCCCGGTTTCCACCTTCTGACATATTGCCTTTAAGGATATTACGGAAAACAGGAAAGGCGGGGTAACACAGTCAGCGTAGTAGTAATGCTGCAGTACATCTAGCAATGATACACACCTTTCCCACAGATTTTATGCATGGAAGCGGCATCTCCCAGATTCCTACAACCAAATTTGTAACGACTGAAGCTCGACAGGCTCAGAACCTTGTCTTTACGAACTTATATTGGGTCTAATATTCGGTGGGAATGCTTGCGCCACGTTCTTATGGTCGCACAACATATTTGGACAAACCAACAAACTACGGTAACGGCATCTGTTGGTCAGCTTTCAGCTCGCTAAGCGATAGCATGATTTATTTCATTGGAGAAAAACATTGGTTAATATGAATTCTGCTGCAGATTCTTGTGCTCACAGATTTCTTGTCCTCTCTTGGTTGCGTAAACCCGTGTTACATACCGGACTTCCGTGTTGTTAAAGGGTTTGTTTCCAGGTCCCAACCTGACGGTAACCATTTTTCTGCCATTCCACTTTTTTACTGATCCCCTTTGCTGAGACCTTTGATACCCCGGGTTGTTTAGCCTCTGATGAGATTCGGGGATTTGTGGTGACTTCAAGATGTCCACATCAAGCTCAAATCATACCTACACTGCAGAATATTTAGCGGAAGATCGAAAACAGAGCTTCCTTGATTTCATGATATGTTTTGCGGTCCTTGAAACGTCCTTCTTTGCGCTGTTTTGTCTATCGCGGTATAAAAGCAAGACGCCGCATGGTTGGGATACATGGCTCATGATACCGGCCTACATAATCTGCGTGGGCCATCCCATAGTGGGAATCTGTGAGCTCCTCGTTGGTTTGTTGAAGTAAAATCGCTGACATTTTCAGATGGTGCAGTAACTAATGTTAATGGGAAACATGCTGTGACCGCTTCAGCACACACGGTCGAAGTCTGGTTAAAACTACTTGTCACTGTGTGGTTCACCTATCCACCATCTGTTGCGCTTCCGAGATTGTGTATCCTGGGTTTGTACCTGCGAATATTCACGATTAAAATGTACAGATATGCCACCTATGGAATTGGTGCAATTATAATTCTTACGTGGCTTGCAATATACATATGCAATTTCACGATATGCACCCCCTTCCAATACTCGTGGGATAAATCAATCCCAGGGGGTCATTGTATTGATCTCCCGGCAGAGGTGAGTGTATTTTATTTTACCTGTCTCAAAGTGCAATTTCTAAAGTCAAGACTAAAGAGAATATTAGCACCTCTGGATTAGTTTGCCAAGTGAGTAAAGTCACTACCATAGGCACAATTCAATGATTAATTTCTCCTCCAAGATATTGTCACGGATTTAGCAATGTTGCTACTCCCTCAGCCGGTTATTTGGCATCTCCAAGTATCCCGAGCACAAAAGATTGGGTTGACAATAACATTTGCAACCTTTAGCATGTTAGTCTACTATTCCCCCGCGCGCTTATACTATACGCGACACTTACATCCATACAGTGGCCTTGTGACATCTTGCCTCCGGTTTTGGACCTTCTTCAACAAAGACCTCTACATCGACGTAACATGGTATTCCGTCGATGCCATGATCTGGACGGCAACTGAATCTGGAGTCTACTTCATAGCAGCATGCCTGCCCTATTTACGAACCCTTTTCACACCGTTACTAGCAAAGATCGATTTCAGCTATCTTCGCAAGCTGAAACTAACAATGGGCAGCGGCACGAGAAAATCTGGAAAAGGAAACACCAATTCAAGTACATCGCCAACTGGGACCGGTATCACACTTACCGACAAGCCTGCAAGGGACGATTATTTGCTTCCGCGTCTTAGTGCTGGGAATGACCAAAAGAGTTTGGTGACTTGTTACCACGTTGATAGCCCTCAACCGGCATCGCGACTTGATAATCCGGCCGAAGATCTGGAAATGGGGTATGGGAGTGAGAGAACCCAGGGAATTCAGGTTCAGAAGTCATATGGTATCTCGATGATGCCAAGGGTCTATAAAACGTGACTTCATACTTTATTGATTAGAACCATTGTATCCTAAAAGTTGGCTGCAACTATCAATCGTACTTCGTGACATGAAGGAAATAATGAGGTGCAATGATGCTCTCAGAGGGCTTGACACCCTATGTATACTGTAGCACTGCCTGGGCAAACCAAAGTATTTCTGTTAATCATAAGCGAGGTTTCATAGGTGGGTATGATCATTAGAGTCCGGAAGACAAAGACTATCTTCTCTAGGTAGAATAGCAAGTCATTACGTGGAAGCAAAGTGGAGAATCTAAAGGTCTATCACTATCCAAGTCACAAATTTGAATCGGTGTGTACGCCGACGATGAACGTGATATCGTAAGGTAGTCGTACAATACTAATTATACCTGAAGATCGTAAACTCCAATAACAATCACAACACTTTTAGAATATTGGAGCTTCTACTCATTCAAGCATCCAATTATTCGGGAACAACTCCGATTAGGATTAGTCATCCATAACCGCCTACAAGTATATGAAGTTTTAGTCACATCTTTTCAGATGATATGGTTATCACCCTCCCCTAAGCAACTTTTGATGTACCCCACGCTACCCCCGGAAAAAGACCCATTCTTACTGATTCGAGTATGCTAATTTACGACGTCTACTTTGGATAATTTCACTCGAGATATCCCATTTCAGTCAGTACATACCATCCCAGCTTTAGGAGGGGGAATAATTTCAACATTTCTCATTCGCAAGACTGATCCAACAGTCAAGCAATGACGTAACTTTGAAAATGTTTCAACTTGTTCCCGACTAGCTAACATTAGTGACTTTCCCACAGGGTTCTGCCTACACATTGCCGCCAAGCATCCGAGACCTGATATCACAACTTCTATCCTGACCAACGATGCTCTCATCTCTGTAACAGGCCTCTCGCCACAGCAGACCGTCAAAGAACATTACATTGAATGAAAGCCCAATAGTTCTCGAAAAATGTCCCGGAAGCCACTGCCGCTGCACAAAACCTAGCCCGTCATGTCCCTGCAGGTACATCCGGGTATGCAAATCAAGGCCCCACATACATCCCACTATCAACTCCCTCACCCCGCACGTCTTATGTCCATGTGCGGTGTTTAGGAAGGTAAGCATGACCCAGTCTTCAAATATAGTCGTCACTCATAACGGAAGGGAAAACTCTAAATTTTGATCATATTTCTTCTTTTCTTCTTCCTTTCTTGAAGACTACCTGCGTTACTAGACACGAGAACGTCGTTTATCTCCCCCTTATACCTCGCTTAAAATTTAACTCGACTCTGTAGTGCCCAGGTCATTGTTTGAAATGGCTGCAGAGAAGAAACCGTTTCATGTTGCCGTTGTTGGTTCGTGTGGTTTTCTTTTCTGGCATGAATAGCTTTCAAGTCTTGTATTCCGTTTACTTCCACAGAGAAACTAACAGTCTGAACTCTGGTCAGGCGGAGGTATAGGAGGACTATGTCTAGCAATCGGCCTCCTCCGTCAAGGAGTCTCAGTAACCCTCTACGAAGCAGCCTCAGAATTCAAAGAAAGTACGTTCTATTCCGTATTCCACTTCCATCCTCCTCCCCCAATACATAACTAACAACCCTCCAAAGTCGGCGCAGGAATAGGTTTCGGCCCTAACGCCCTCCGAGCCCTCGAACAGATCGACCCCTCCCTCCGCGCCTCCTACGAAACAATCCAAACCTCCAACCCCTCCCCCAACCGAAAATCAACCTGGTTCCAATTCCAGCTCGGGATGAAGTCCCAGAACTGGTCGAAGCTGCAAGCATCCACCAACCCCACGGAGAAAATAACAGAGACATGGCAAGACGGGCAGAAGGTCGCAACAGTAACAGCAGGCAAGACAGGACAACTAAGTTTCCACCGCGCGCACTTCCTAGATATCTTGGTAGCGCTCGTTCCAAAGGATGTCCCGAAGTTTGGGAAGAAACTGGTGGATATTGAGGAGTTGGAAGGTGGGAAGTTGGAGATGAAGTTTGCGGATGGGACGACGGCGCAGACTGATGCGGTTGTAGGGTGTGATGGGGTGAAATCGAGGACGAGGGCTCTACTACTTGGTCCCGATCATCCTGCTGTGTCGCCGAGGTTTACCGGGAAATATGCGTACAGAGGACTTATTCCGATGGAGCAGGCTGTGGAAGCATTGGGGGATGAGGTGGCGAGGAATAGTCAATTGTATATGGGCCATCATGGACATGTCCTTACCTTCCCAATAGAGAAGGGGAAGACTATGAACGTGGTTGCTTTTAGGAGCAAGGAAGGAGAATGGGGGGATGAGAAGTGGGTGTTGCCGATGGAGAGGTGGGTTATGCTTAGGGATTATGAAGGGTGGGGGGAGAATGTGATGAAGATACTTTCGGTAAGTTGTGACTTTTCTTTATTCAGGTACAAAACTGAGAGAAGCAAAATCGTAAAACGGGAAGAAGAAGAATTCGGAAGGCAAGGAAAATGCTTATCATTTAATTTACATACAGATGATAAAACGTCCCGATGTATGGGGACTCTTCGACCACCCTCATGCGCCAACTTATTATAGGAAGAGATTTGCCATCCTTGGAGACGCAGCTCACGCATCGACTCCCCATCAAGGCGCAGGCGCTGGTCAAGCTGTGGAAGACGCATTCATCCTCTCAAGGTTAATCGGGAAAATATCCTCCGCTGATGAGATTGAGAAAGCATTCAAGGCATATGATGCTATTCGTAGACCGAGGAGCCAGAAGGTTGTAGAGACAAGTAGAGACGCAGCAGCAGTATATGAGTTCGAGGACGACAGTCTTGGCACGGATTTAGAAAAGGTTCGAGCGACGTTGGAAATTAGGTACAAGTGGATATGGGATGAGGATATGAACGAGCATTTGAGACAAGCAATGGAGTTGATGGATTGATATGTGTACGGTGTGAAGGGGTAATTTTCAAGAAGCGCATGGTCGATTAGTCGATGGAATCGTCTCTAAGAGCAAACAGTTGGCTGAGGACTTCGTCGGTTTTGGAACGGATTGCATCGTGGTACATTGAATTGGTCTTGAATTGTCTGCAGTTTTGAACCATATTGGCAGTATCCTGAGCAAGGTCGAAGTTAACATACATATCCTCGACGAACGTCGCCGCGTAAAGTGATACGGTATTCCGTGCGAGTTGCCATTCATCGTAAAGCTCAGGCCAATCAGTGTATTGTGCAAGTATCTCTGCAACTGGTGCTAATTTTTCCAGCTCAGGGAAAGCGTCGAACAAGAAAGGATATATCATCTCGCCAGAGAAGAAAAGTGGTCCCTCTTTAACAGCTGATGCTGATTGTGGGGATCCAGTCAACCATTGAAACTCTCTGAATGTTTTTCCAACTCGTTCAGCAGACCAATTTGAAGCCATTCTTTGACAATAGATACTCTCGTGGAGTATCGCGTAAATGACATTATCGTCAAATGTTAAAGCCCTCTCCAATGCAGAAAGCGTGGGACGGCTGATGAATTGAAAATTGGCAAGATCGATTCTGGTTCGAAGAATTAAATCATGGACAGTATCGAGACCACCTTGAGCCCCAAAAAACCGCCCGAGTGTCAGAAGGCCGCGGACTGTCAAGACGCCGCCAGAGGGGAGAGGAAGTCCGCCTTTGCTTTTGATGTGGAAACATAAACCTTGGACTGCTTCTACATCCTCCGGATATTTCTTTGAATGTAATTAGCATTCCAACTTCTGTTTCCAATTGTAGAAATCTTGGGGACCTTATATTACTCCGCCAAAAGAGGAAAACAAGATTGCTTCATAGAAAGATTTGCGAGCGGACTTACGGAGTAATAAGCCTTGTTACGTTCAATGACTTTCTGATAAGTAGCTTTGTAAACCTGATCTGGAGTTTTTCCAACAGGCGCCAGTCCACCAGACATAAAGGCCTCACGGAGACCTTGAGGAAAGAAAGAGAGGTAGGTAAGAATACAGAAGCCCCCAAAGCTTTGGCCAAAGACAGTCCATTTCTATTGAGAACCATGTCAGTCAGTTCCCCACATTTTTGTTTTGGGGTCGACAATGAGTTTGTACCTTTAATTCAGCCGGATAATCTTGAGTCAAGGTTTTTCTAATCGCCTCGCAATCCTTCACAATACTGTCCGCTCTGAACAGCTTACAATAATCCGCTTGTCTCCTTGGATCTGCAGGTTCCCGCAATCAGTATAATTCCACTAAGACTAAGACTTCGGACGAATTCACAGTCCCAGTATGTATTTTTGACGGCTCTAGACTCTATCTGGGGAAGTAACAAGATATCTCACTCTGAGAAATTTCGGGTACTTACCGCCCTGCAAAGCAAGAGTAGCGGCCGTGATAGGACTACTCAACCCCGTCCCTCTCTGATCAAGAAACAACAATTGGTATCCACGATCAAGGACCTTATTTGTAAGAGGCGAGTCTTGCGGCGTAGGACTACCAAATCCTGGTCCTCCTTGCAAAAACACAAAGTACGGCTTTATCAGATTCTTGCGTCGCTCATCTTCCGTAAGAACCGCAGCTGGTTTTTCATGACGGGTTACACCTCGAGCGAAGATTTGAAGGACTCCAGAAGACGGGTTGTTGTAATCTTTGGGCACTTCAAAAAGGAGTTCTGAGACCCGTAGTCTGCCTGTGATAAGTGAGATACAGCTATGAAAGTATGGTTGGGAGCGAAAAGTGGGGTTGGAGGGAGTAATGTGTTCAGATAGGATACGAAAGTAGTTGTGATATCGTGAAATGAAGAGTATCATATGATGGTCTACTAATTGTTCCAATCGCCCACAAATGGAGAGTTGCGCAAGACATATAAAATGGAAGGATTCGCAGCCTCAAGCTTACCTGGAATCAGGTGGGTCTTGGACTCAACCAACCTCGCAAAGGCCATTTTCATCACCGATCTATCGGTCTTTTAAAGACAATTCTATCAAGATGAGAGCGAAGATGAACCAGCTGCAGTGAAGCGAGATTTGAATGTCCGTTGATGGATTGATACCGCAGGAAAGGCTGATGGTTGATGAGATAGATGGTGATGGTCTGAGGTGGATGTCTCGGCTCGTCATGGTCATGGAACTTATCCGCGGTCGCTGCACCTTTCGCACAACCTTCATCCGACAACTCAAAAATTAGAGTCGCCCGACTACTGTGGACAGCGCATCACATCGTCTCCAAGGTGAGTCATTGATATTTATCCCATTTATATGCAAAGCAGATCGGTCCATGCCAGCGCAGATCACTATCGATACCGGATTTCTAAGAGCGTCAGGGCAGGGTGGTGGTCAAAACTCATTTTCATCCTGAATCGATTTTGAGCTGAGAGTCGCACAACGCAAAGCTGCATCTTTTCATTCGTGCCTTTTAGTCTCACAAACTTCACATCTCACCCTTCATCAACCCAGCTCTAGGAATAAGGCTTACAAGTGTTTCAGACTTCCAATATCGAGAAATATCACGTGATACTCTTGCTCTATTCACCGCGGCCTTGTTTATTTAATCATCTAAAGTGGAACAAGAGGGCAGTCGCTCGATTTGTCAGTCTACTGTAAACTGAAGCTACCTTAATCTTCAGAATGGCGAAAGACAAAAAAGGCAAATCCGAAGGCAAAAAAGCCAAACTCGCTGAAAAGAAAGCAAAACAAGAAAAGAAAGGCGAAAAGAAAGAGAAGATCCGGGCCTCAAAATCAGCTGGCAACGACTCAGACGCAGAGGATATAGGTAAGTACCCAGATTCTGGTGAATCAACTATCCTAGAAAAATGTACAATCATGAATACTTCTTCGATCCCCAAATCTTCTACCACAAAACCCATACTAATCCAACCCGCCATCTAGACCTCGACGCAGTTCTAGCAGAATACGCCCTAAAGCAAGCCCAATTCCTCAAAGTCACCGAAACCCCTTGTGACCCGCCTCGAGCCCGCGCCTCATCAACACTCCTAGCCTCTCCCTCAAATGAGAACGAACTATTCCTGTTCGGAGGCGAGTTCTTCAACGGTGCTCTGGCAACCTTCTTCAATGATCTCTATGTCTACATGATCAACAGAGACGAATGGAGGGTCATCACATCACCCAACACGCCTTTGCCGAGGAGTGGCCATGCGTGGTGTAGAGGTGGCAACGCGGGGGGGATTTATCTCTTCGGTGGCGAGTTTAGTAGTCCTAAACAGGGAACTTTCTATCATTATAATGATTTCTGGCGACTTGAGCCCGCGACAAGAGAATGGACTCGGCTAGAAACCAAAGGAAAATCTCCACCCGCCCGAAGTGGCCACCGAATGACCTACTATAAGAACTACGTTATCCTTTTCGGAGGTTTCCAAGATACCTCTCTATCAACCAAGTACCTGGCCGACCTCTGGGTCTACGACACCCAAAACTTCGTCTGGTATAACCCCGCTATTCCATTAGCAACGCAAAAACCAGACGCTAGATCGTCATTCTCGTTCTTACCACACGAACAAGGTGCGGTTCTGTATGGAGGGTACTCGCGTGTGAAATCAACCGTGACGGGGAAACAGATGAAAGGCGGTGGTCAGGCGTCAAGGAATGTTTTAAAGCCTATGATTCATCTCGATTGTTTTTACTTGAGGGTTGTGCAGCCTGCTGCTGATGCGCCACCAAATACACCACCTACTGTTCGCTGGGAACGTAGAAAACGAGCTGCCAATGCACCGAATCCTGCGCGGGCAGGTGCTACCATGGCCCATCATAAAGGACGAGGGATCCAGTTCGGCGGAGTGTATGATGTGGAAGAAAGCGAGGAGGGGATAGATAGCGAGTTTTTCAACCAACTATTCGCGTGGAACATTGAGAGAAATCGATATTTCCCTCTCGCTTTGCGAAAACCACGACTCAACCAAAAGGCTCAAAATTCCCGCGGTGGGAGAAGAGGGAGAGGACAAGCGAATGAAGATGAACTCCTTCGCAATCTGGCAGCGTTAGAAACAGGCAAAAGTCTTGCGGACGCCGAAGACATGGAACTCGACCGACCCAAGGAAGACGAGGCTAGCGAGCTTCCTCAGAAAGAGGTTCTCATGGAGTTTCCGCATGTGAGATTCAATGCCCAACTCACAGTCCAAGACGACGTCCTCTACATCTACGGCGGCACCTTCGAGAAAGGCGATCGCGAATTCACATTCGACGAGATGTACTCCATCGACCTAGGGAAACTCGACGGATGTAAACAAATCTTCCGTCGGGAACCCGAGAACTGGTTCGGCAGCGAAGACGGGGAGAGCTCCGAGGACGAAGACGACGAAGACGAAGACGACTCGGAAGAAGACGAAGAAGGCGACATCCAAATGTCCGAACCCAGTAAACCCCTCTTCACAGAATCCAAACGAAAATCCAAACGCAACCCGTCTATCTCCGACATCACTTCCCCGCCGGAAACCCCAACCTCCTCCGTCTTCGACGATACACCAACCGAGGATTCAGCCATGGAACCAGATGACAACCTCCCCCACCCGCGCCCCTTCGAGTCCCGCCGCGAGTTCTTCGTCCGCACGACGAATGAATGGCAGGAACTCCTTATGACGGCTCTGCGATGGAAGGGGGTCCAACCTGAGACGTTGAGTGTGAAGGAGATTAAGACGAGGGCTTTTGAGATGAGTGAGGAGAAGTGGTGGGATTGCAGGGAGGAGATCACGAGGTTGGAGGATGAGCAGGATGCTGCGGGGATTGGCGAGGTGGTTAGGCTGGAGGATAGGGAGGGTGCTGGGGGTGGGGTGGGGAGGAGGAGGTNCGAGGTTGGAGGATGAGCAGGATGCTGCGGGGATTGGCGAGGTGGTTAGGCTGGAGGATAGGGAGGGTGCTGGGGGTGGGGTGGGGAGGAGGAGGTAGTGTTATTTGGGGGAAAGGGATGCGGAAGATTAAGCGAGGCAAAGTTTGGAGTTTAAGAGGGAGGAGAGATGATATGATCTTTTTCTGTGACAACGTCGTAGTGCCACCATCATTATATCGCTTATATTTTCTTGTACTTCCAAACAGAGATTACATCCTCGTCCGTTCTGTCTCTACTTCCCTTGTACCCAGCCACAATGCATCATGTTTCGTAGCACCTTGCAAATTCCTTTGCCCCTGCTTGATTAGTATCATACCACTTCATCAGATCTGGTACTAATAATCCAGCCATCCCTCCAGCCTTTCCTCCATCTCCCATCTCTCCTCCCTTATCCGTCCTTACTTCTCCACCACCACCCACACCAACCAACTAAAACCCTTTGATGCATCTCGGCCTTCAACTGCAGACACAAGCACCAGTTCAGCGGTGCTTCATACAACAGTCTTTTAAGCTGAATTTCTGGATTATCCGTTTCTTTTGACATTAAGAGGAAAAGATTATGGGGGAAAGTAGGGTTTTCACTGGTCGAAAAAGGATTGGGAGAGAGTCTCTACTCTAGCTGTAAGATGAGCGTTCCCGTTTAAGGTACGTTAAGCACTGCAAATCAAGTACCAATCAATCTATTATATTATTCCTCAGCAATTCTTGCTCATTCTTCTATGTCATTCCTCGGTGGCTGTCCATGGTCTAATGGGATATCATATGACCCTTTCGTCCATCCGTAACTTGCAGCACCATCAATTTTCCCCATCCCAACGCCAATGATATACCCCCACCAAAAAAACGCCCTTCAAGAACCATATATACACCCCATCTCCCATCCCCACCCCTCTCAAGCACCATACCGACTAAAACACTCCTCGCGATGAACATCCAAACACTCCAGCGCACAAACCCTCCCCCCACACCTCACACACCTCACCCGTCCCCAATACCCACAAACCTCACAAAACAACCTCACCGGTCTCTCTTCCTCGTTCAGCCTTCCTCTCGTCTCCTCATAACTCAACGGCGGCGCAGAAACCAGGTTGTTGATCTCCTCCTGCGTAGGCATCCTTGGGATCCGACTTTGTAAAAGAGGATCGGAGTCCCCTGGGTGGGAAGGCGGCGGGGGTAAGATGGGTAGTGTGATGAGCGGCTTGATTTCTTGCGGATTCGGTGCGATGGGCGTGATGGGTGGGATGGGGAGTTTGCGTACCGTACCCGGTGGGGGACGGAGGAGTTGGGAAGGGTCTTTTTTTTTGTGCGATCGTGTGCCTTTGGAGGTGAGATGGGGAGCTGGTTTTACAAGTGGTGTACCTGGTGTCGAGACAGGAGGAGGGGATACGACGATGGGTTGTGGTGTTGAGGGAGGGGGTGGTGCGAGTTCTTTTAGGGATGTGTAGTCGTCGAGATGGTTATTGAAAGTCTTATTCGAGGCGAGGATTTTTCGGACGGCGGGAGTTGTGCCTTTTTGGTTTGCTAAATATCATCATCAGCATCACTCTGTACATTTCTCTCTTCCTCTCTCCCCTTCTTCTCCTCCTATCTTGCAACCATCTCACCCAAACCTCCACCCAAGAACAAGTACCAGAACAACAACAACACAAAAAGAAACTCACCCCTCCCCGCAATCGGGATCTGCACCTCCCTATGACTCTCCCTCGTCAACTCCTCCAACCCCCTCAACAACTTCGCATCCTGCTTCGCCGTCGTATCCCCCGCCGTCGCCAGCGTCAGATTCCTCGCTCTCTTCGCCCGTCCCGGTTGCAAGGCTGTGACGGCCGGTGCGCTGACACCAACGCCAGTATCAGGGACGTACGCCCATCCTGGCGCGGCCGTAGCTTTGGAATTCGCAATTTCGAGGATGCCGAAGTCCATTTTGGTACTGCAAATTAGGTCATAAATTCATGCTGTGTTGAGATGTTGTGTGGTGGGGAGGTTTGGAGGGAGGGTGAGCACGGAGACGAGGCTGAAAATTGGAAGCTTGGATCTGGATGTGGTTTGCCACCAAAAATCAGACCTCGCAAATCCAAAAGTTCACATAGAAATCAACATCTCCATAGCTTCATGTACAAAAACCCGTTGGATTGAGATGCGTAGATACCCATTCTCATGCAAGCACCACCAATCCAGCAAAAATGCAGTCAAAAAAAGGCGATCCTTTTGTACATATACATAATGTAGTTCCCCCTCCTCGAGGTCCCTACAAAATATATCCCCTTCCACATCAGGTACTGGTATCCCATTTTCCTTCCGGTATAAAGTGATTGTCCCATCGCATTCATGTCCTGGATTCCCTTATTTCGTGTCCTGCATATCAAGTCCCCAGCTCCCCAGTAGGTATTTAGTCCCATCATTTCTTCTTCTTCAACTGGGCCAAGTCCTCCTCAAGCGTCTGGACATAGGTATGTACGCGTTGAACCGAAGCTTGCAGACTCTATCAAATCACAAGAATTAGCAACACATTCCCAAAATCCCGTTCGTAGTACGAGATATCCATTCCACCATCCCTCCAAAACCACAATCAATCCACAATCGCAAGGAAAGAAGAAGCAAAAAAAGAAAACTCACATAAATATCCTCCGTAAGCAACTCATTAGAAACCCGATACTCCTCAAGAACATAATAATAAACCCCCGCCCCCGCCAACGTACTTCCCAAAAGGAAGCCAAATAACCTACACCCCGCAAATTAGCACATCTTCCTCCCTGTCTCCATCTCCAACACTTCACCCCCTCCCCAAACTAAACCCTCAAGACAGGAACAAAACTCACCCTCCCCTAAAAGCACCAACAGGTTTCCTAACCGGCAACGGCGTAGCCCCCTCACGCAATATCGTCGAGCTCTGGAAGCTTCGTAGCGGAGCGGAGCGTAGCTGGAGCGCCGTCGAGGGGCTGGCGAATGCGCGCATGCGCAGCGCCGGTGTTAGGATGCGGGATGCCATGGTGGTATTTTGTATCGCTGAACAAGATGAGGTGGTCAATTGAATGCGGTTTCTTGTTAATTCGTGGTGTTGAGTGTTTGGTATGTTGGGGAACAAGGCTTTGGTTGCGTTGCACTTTGTTGATGGTGGAGGTTCAGTTCCCTCGGTTCCCCGGGATTTTTTCAATGGGATGAGGTCAGGGCTGGGAGCTTCACTCTTTTCACGAGGCTACCTTCACCAGGGCAAAGTAAGATAGTCAATTTTTCAAGAGTAGGGTTTTCGGTTTATGTACTGTAGTTCAAAGGTTCAATTAATTCTCACAAATTACAAACGTCACATAATTGGGGAAACAAAACATTGCAAAGTACTGTGTGTCATTATCCGACGATCAAAAGGATCAACCTAAACAGAGCCCAAACGCTCCGTGGCCATCATTGCACGAGATAGATAGAGTACAGATAGGAAAATCGAATCGATAATTTTGCCCCCAAACCCAAAAGAACACACTCATAGCTCATCCTTGGTTTCCTTTTCAGGCTTGGTCTCCTTAGTAGCCTCGGCAACCTTATCCTTCGCGGCATCAGTGGCCTTCTCAGCGGCGCTCTTGACCTTCTCAGTAGCAGCCCCAGCTTGCTCAGCCATTGACTCAACAACTGGCTTCTCGGGCTCCTCAACGTAGGTAACCTCAACGCCGTGAGTACCGTTCTCCTTGACGAACTTGATGAGGTCCTCGATGCTACGGCTTCCGCTGTAGGTAACTGGCTTCTTCTTGTCGCCAGATTTGAACAGCATGATGGTTGGGAAGCCTTGAATCTCCTCTGGAACATCGTTGGCAGTGGCATCAACCTTGGCGATGGTGACCTTGGAGTCAAGACCAGCGTCCTTGTACAAGTTACCGAGGATATCGTATTTTGGTGCAAGAGCCTTGCAGTGTCCGCACCATGGAGCGTAGAATTCAACCAAAACATCCTTGGCGTCATCCATGACAATAGTCTCGTAGTTGTGGGCGACGATGATTGCAACTGGGCCATCTTGCGTCTCTGGGATAGGCTCAGACTTGATGCTTGGCTCAACCTTGCCAGCAACAAAGTCATCAACGAACTTTCCGATGGACTTGGCGGTGATCTTGGTCTCCTGGTCAAAGGGGAACTTCTTGTTGTTGACGGTATCTTGGATGGCGAAAGCTGGCCATTGGTCGGCCTTCAAGTTCAAGTTACCAGCGTGAGCACCAAATGACTTGGCGTCAATAGTGGCAAAGCTGATAGCTCCACGGTGCTTCTCAGCGACAGACTTGAGCTCAGTAGCAAAGCTAGTTCGCTCTTCTTCGGTTTCGGCGAAGATGTATGCCAATGGGATACCAGTGGCCATGTATTCGGAATATGTCTCTGGTCCAACCTCACCAACCAATGGCATCGAGGCAGTCTTGACAAACTTCTCGATGGTCTCGCCCTCGAATTTCTCCGCGAGAATGCTCTTACCCTCATCGAAAGACTTGTAAAGGACGAGAGCTGGGGCAGTGACACCCTCAGCCTTGGCCAAGGCAGCATCGTTGCTGGCACCGAAAAGGTAGGTATCACGCAACTTCTCAGCAACAGTGGTGTATGTAGTGTTGGAAGTCTTGTCATCGGCCTCGAAGTACGCAACCAAAACAACCTTGTCTTGGGTCTTGAATTCCTCAAGGTTGTCCTTAGAGATTGTAGAAACGGCAGGGAGCGATTGTTTGGTCATATATGAGACAATCCTGAATTGATATTAGCGGTTGGCCATTGGTAAGGAAATCATGTGTGAGTATTCAACTTACGCTGGTGCCTTTCGTTGGCCCCCATATGCGGAAATAGCATCAGGCCCACGGAACACCTTAAGTGTTGGGTAACCCTCAACTCCATAGGTCTGGCAGAGGTCGGCCTCCTCTGTGCAGTCCACCTTTGCCAGCTTGATGTTCTTCTCCTTCAAGGTAGTGGCAGCTTCTTCGTATTCTGGGGCGAGCGCTTTGCAGTGTCCACTAGTGAGTGTCAGAAAATTGATAGAGGACAGGTGTCATTGAGGGGCAAACTTACCACCATGGCTATAGCAGAAAATCGGATGTTAGCATTCTATTCATCTGCGAGTTCAATTACAACAGGAAAAAACATACTGCGTAGACTAGATGATAATAAAGTTAGCGCAGATTCAATTCAATTTGATGGTGGGCTTGGGAAGCTGTAGATACTTACATTCAGCCAGAACCAAGTCGTTGGACTTGATATAATCGGCAAAGGTGTCTTTTGTGAGAGCCTCGACATCTGAAGCTGCGGCGACAGCTGCAAGAGCTGCGCCAATTGCAAGAGCATAATGCATCCTGACTGTAGAGAATGAAAGCAGGTATGTCTGTTAGGAGGAAGAGGGGCCTGGAGTCAATGCGATCGTTCCAGGTCAGTTGGCGGGGAACGACTGGTAGAGTCAATGGGTAGTGCGGTCGGTTGGAAATAAAGTCTATGAAAGGTTGGATGGGAGGTTGGTCAGTATTTGTAGCAGATACAAGTGCCCTCTCTTGAGTGTGTGGGGCAAGGATGGGCAGCAGAAGGCAGTGAACTGTAAAGAGGAGATGTGTTTCCTTTATTCACAGCTAAGAGGTCTGTCTGCAGCGGACCAGCCAGGGCCCAGGGCAGCCCACCAATGCTCCCCCTCCGTACCTCCCGCTGCTGCCCCCATGTTCAACCGATTTGATAAGCCCAGGGTCCATCAGAACACCTGTCTTCTGCAGTCTCCAATGCAGGGATCCTCGCTCTGCCATGCACTTGAATGCGCTTGAATGCACCTGCAAAGTGTACCACCGCTTCACTTCAGGCTTCGGCCCTTCGGGTCCTTTGCCACTATCGATTGGTAACCTAATTCATAGTTTGGAGTTCCAGGAGGTTTGATAAAGCAATCTTTCCGAATCAATCCTGTAATATGAGGCAAAAAAAGACGAGCATTTTGGAAGTAAGTTTACTCTGAATGGCATCTAATTTTGTGATTGGATATTCAGAGTTATTAATACACAGCATTGGTACACGTTGATACTGGGACAGTTCTCCGGACAAAATAAATTTACCTGGTGCAGTATTGGATTTCCCCGCAAATATACCTGCCTCAGCACCTAGTAATTGTATGTGCGTACCAACGGGTACAGGCAGGTACATGTACTGCTTGCCAATGGTTGCAATTGGCGAGGGGGTGACAATAATGCAAAGCTTGATTGAGAGGTTGTAAAGGACAGATATATAATCGGACTCGTAACCTCACATGCCACTTCTCGTAACGCATCGTCCACCACTGTAGATTCCGAGCCCAGATGAGGCTATTCAGAATCTCCCTCTCGCTCCCGCAAAGGTCGAAAAGAAGAAACATCGTGCTTCGATTTTCTTCAAGGTCCCAGGGATCCACTGACGTCGATCGCTTTGTTCTCAGGGAGGGCAGAGCCTCAACCCGTACCGAAAATGGTCCACAATAACGATCGGCCGAATGCCTCCTTGACTCAAAACGTGACTAGTCTATTCGCAGTACTAACTTGTACACAGTCAGACGATTTCAAAGCCTTTATTTACTTATACCACGCCTTATTATGTTCTAATCAACCACTTCGCCTCTGGTTAGCATGAGCTAACTGGTCATTGGTATTTCGGCTTTCCCTTGAGTAAGCCGGGTTTTACTTCGTACTGTAGGAAGGTCTTCCTGTCATCTCAGAAAGCTTCCTCAAATTCATGCCCAGACTTGGAAGCATCGGAATGTTCCTATACAGTGTCACCCAGCATTCGTACTTGTACTTTGCCTTCGTCATTACAGTGCCATCCATCTATCCGAGAGCCGAAAAAATGTAAAAATAGCGACAACTTCAGAAACCCGAATTGGATATATATAAAACATTGATTCCATGTATATTATGGTGTTCCAATTACAGTAGGATTTCCTCTAATTCAAGAGTCTTCGGAGAAACTAAAACACTCTGCTACTTCATCTGAAAAGTACTTTTCTGGAAACAAGCTAGAAGGTACTGTAAGATACTAGTACTATACCCTACTGTACAGTAAGGTTACGTCCGTTTCTTTTGGGACGAGTCATGATTTGAACTTCGTACTACTTTTAGTCTTTTACAGAATGGGGGAGAGTGTACATATCAGTAGTAAGATGGGGGGGTATAGCATAGCATCTATCTTATCAACGAACAGTACCTTTATCAACATTAGCAATGATGTCTCATTTTCGCTTAATCTGAGACCCTTTACGATACTGCCTATTGACTTTGCTCTCGACTTTCCTCCTATGGTCAGTGGTCGTCATCTGTGCACGCCTAGTGATAGTAGTACCAGTAACAAAATATCTATAAGAAGCTCCTCTTACTTTTCCTTTTTGTAACCTGATCTAATCAGAGGGCAGATTGTGGACAGCTACAGCTGCGTTGAACGGACTTGAAAAAGCACTGCTTCCGGCAAGTGAACTAAAGGGGTTGTTGAGCTTTAGGATGTACACCTCAGACTTGATGTCGGCTATACGGGAACTTGGATGCCAAGAGTTATGTAAATCTTTCCAAGGCATGCTGGAAGATATCATGAAAGGAATGACTTCTGTGTAACTCTTGGTCACTGAGTTCCTCCTTGGTCCTTGACACTCAGTACTCACTTTTGTTTTCTTACCATTGCTTCAATACACGATATATCCCATACTCGGCACATCAACCGAGTTGGATTGATAACCATTTTTCTATGATGCGACTTGAAATCTCATATGCATCAACGTCTGCATCAACGTCAAGCAGTTTTGGCTATGAGTCGAAGCTTCCAAGTTCTAACACGGGACAATGCTCCGTCAAATCTGTTCTTGAAGAGCATGAGCGGCGGCATCAGCATTTGTTGAAGCTGCTGTTTTTGTTGTTGAACATTGGAAAAAATGAAAATGTCGATGTCTATTGCATGTCGCATTGGCAAGAAATATACTACCTTCAGACCACTCCTGTTTGACGAGTCTATGAGTCGGTATCCGGAGCGTGATAAAATGCAAAGCGCAGCCTTCTTTGATGGAAGTTAACGATATGGAGCCAAATCTCAAATTTTCATTCAAGTTGCTGTTTACCAGCTTCATTTGCACCTCAATGGTGTTATCTGATTGCTGGCCGAGATCGAATTGGCGGATCTGGTGCTGTCGAGGATGTGAGTCGCGAGATTCTCCATCGCGCCTTCCTCCAAACAGGCGAGACAGGTAAGATAAGCGACAACACCACGACGTGAGAGGTCGCTCTTTCTTCCACGCGCAATTTTCAAGAGAACGCGCCGTTTAAGCTTTCCTTCTATGTTTAAGCTTTCCCTTTCTGCTCTCGAGATCGGAAGCAGCTTGATTGATTCAAAAGTCCTCCTCCCTCACCTCCCGCCTGATTCAACACGTGTACCACCACCACCTCCTCTACACAGCTCATCACCGTCTCCATGATGCTTCTTCTCTGACCCCCACTGCCCTGCGCTTCTTCCCACAACTCGATCTCGACCTCTAGAAACGACTCTTGGCTCCTGCTCTTCTCTTTGGACTTCTATACTCTTCTTCTTTCTTTCTACATCATCAATTCAAGCTCCGTGGTCCTCGGCGACGACGAGCATGGAACATGGACAGTATCTCCACCCCCAGCAGTGCTATTGTCCGCGAGAGAGGCATCAGCAGTAGTCATAATGTTCACCACTCAACTCCAGGTCGATCGGGCAGTGAGAGAGGTCCTGGTATTTCGCGAAATGGCACGAGGAGAGGAGAAGAAAATCGATCTCCAGCCAACTTGCCAAAAGCCTTTGAAGGCATGCTGAAGACCACGACAGAGACAGGTGACATTGGCATGTTCTCGATCAAGCCATCCAGAGTTCCGCCCCCAATCAACAGTCCTCGCAGACTCGGCAGCTACAAGGAAAATGGTCCTCCCAAGCAACAATTTCATCCATACGGTGTACCGGCGGTCGATGACAGACGTCGTCTACCATCGTATGCCAGAGATGCAACGTCCGAGCTGATTTCCATGTATCAGAGTCCCAGTCAAAAATCCAGTCGAAGATTCGACGACAACGACTACCGCTCTTACTCCATGACCCAGACAACTTCTTACACGCTCTCAAATCACAGATCATATGCCAGTCTTCGAAGCCAGCCAGAGGGTCCTAGTATGCTGCAGCGACCTAGATCACCTTTTGCATACCCCACTCGACTCAAACGTCCAGGTTTTCGTCCTTCGTCACCAGCATTGACCGACGGTGGAGGCGTTGACTATCGTCGACGTGCCGAGATTGACCGCACACCATATGTGAGTCGTTCAAATTCTCCACAAAATTGCATTTTTCTTGTAACATCAGATTATAGATGATAGATCAAAAGTGTGTTTGCCTTACTGACTGGAAATGGTAGGGGCCTGGACACAGCACATCATCGCCGTCTTCTCTCTATGCGCAGAAGCGTAGGCCACCTCTCACGCTCCGTGCAGATGGAAACAGATCGACGCCTTCTCTCTTGAGTCAACCTTCTCCTCCAAGACGCTGCTCAAGTCCACTGGTTCCACAAAGTGCCAGTGTCAATGGTGACTGGGCAAGAAGACATGGTCCCGCTTCCGTTAATACATCTCCGGCTCGAAGCACTTTTAGTCTTGCATCAACTGCAAATCTTGTTGCGTCAAATTTACCCCCATCGAATGCAACAACTCCAGGGAAAGCCCAATCACAATCACCCATGTACTATGATTATACTGAGGATTTTGAAGTGGATGAGTATCAACGCCCTCTTACTCGAGAACCACCTCCCCAATTTCGTATGGCTGAAACGATTCCTGAAGATCGCCCCATGCATACCGAAAGACCATCGCTTGTTGACCCCAATACTAGAAACATGACTCCTACTCTCAAGAGTGGCATTCGAGTCTCATCTTCATCGGCATCGATTCATCAAGCTCCAGCAAATGGACTGCAAGATTCGATGTTGAGCGACAGCTACTGGCCAGCGCAAAAGTCCAACACTAGCAATGGAAGCGAAAGTGATATTTCCAGTCGAGAAGAGAGTAATGGCGCTCCCCAACAAAATGGGTCTCGACGAGATCCGCGAGAGTTGAACAAACGACTTGAGGAGGTCTTCAGAGCCAATCAACTGCGCCGTCATGGAGATAACGACTTACGCAATGGGGCCTTGAGAGAGACACACGAGCAGAGGAAAGAAGTTGACCAAGTCAAAGCAGTTCGACCGAAATTTTCTTTTGATCAACCGTCACGAAGAGAGCCATCACCTCAGACACAAGATTCCTCTCGTGAGGACTCTCTGAATGATATTCAAAGCCCACAAGACGAAATTAGCACTCCCCAGAAGGCTCAGAAGTTGGTCATCTCTTCCCTTTCGCCTCCTAAATCGACTAGGAAGAATAGCGGGTATCAGCAAAAGCGATCATCGTCATTGGATTTTGCTTCTCCGGCTGGATTGAAGAGGGTCAGATCAAGCGGCTTCAACTCAGTGAATGACTTAACTGATTTATCGGAATTGATAAACTCTCTAGACTCCGCCAATGGATCACTTCAACACGATGATACAACCAACTCTACCATCATTCCTCCCGAACGTGTGACGATGAACTCGCCAACTATTCCAGAAGAGATGATGCATCCCCAACCTACTTCGCAAGGCACAATCTCTCCTCCTCTTTCAGTTTTCAACAAACCGCATAACCAGGGCGCTCAAACAACTGATAGCCAAATGAAGAAACATCATCGCCGCCAAAGACCTCCTCGAATTGACGTTTCCGCTCTCCACGGTGCTAACGAACTCGTACCCAGAAATTCAGTCTCTCGCTCAGGTTCCCCAATGCATGCACCAAAACCAATTTCACCAGCAAGACAGTTGAAGTTGAAGAACAGTGTGCCCCAACTGATGAAGGCCCTACCACCGCTTCCCCCACATCTTAGAATGTGCGAGATAACTACGCCGGAAACCGTTACGGAGGCAGTGGATACCCCTTCCTTTTTCTCCTCGGCAAAATCAGGGGGCAACTCAACTTTCGCAGGAAACATTCAATCCCCACCCAAAGTTTTTCAAAGAGCGAGAACACAGACCACAGAGCACTCGGATACGTTAGTGGGGTCTTCTGACACGCGGGAAGTTTCCCTTTCGGTAAAGATTCCAGAAAACTTGGCCACACAAGGGGGAAAGTTGGACCTACAACCTATTGCAAGTCCTCCAAAGCTAAAACTAAAGATGCGAAGCTCTGCAAGCACACTTCAATCCCCTTCCCACAACTCTAGGCCTTGGAACTCGGAAGAAAATTATCCCTGGTCAAACCAGGATCCTAGTATCCGGCTTCCCTCCATTGTCAGCAAGGAGACCTCGAAGCCGCCCAAATTCAGACTGAAATCCAACAGACTCTCAAATTCCAACCAGGACCTCGAGACCCAAGACACCGTCAGAGTCAATCCAGAGGCTCGAGATTCCAGGATATCCGCCGGTCTGCATCTACCGAATCCAAAAGACCTGTTCACCCCTAATATTGGAATTGATAACATCTTTCGTCAGGTAAGTCGACATATTCATTCGAGAAAATCTAGCTCCAATAGCAGTCATCCGGGAAGAGAGGGTAGTCCTGGCCAAGTAACTTCTCTCTCAATTGGAAATCGAAACACAGCACAGACATCTCCTCTTGTGGACAGTCAAGAAGATTCAGCCGAATTGAACACCTCCAACTCAGATGGTCAACCAAGTTCCCAAGGACGTCATTCTCTTCGAAAGCGGTTCTCAAATCTGAGATCCAGAATCACAGGTCCTTATCTTTCGAGAAGTGCATCCCGATCGTACGACGATATGACGTCGAAGAATATGAATCGACTGAGTGAAGCAATACCAATGGCAAGTCGTTCGGTACCAAATCTTCGTGGTAGCATTGGGTTGAGCGTTCAGGTAGAGGACACGACTTTGCAACCATCAGGCGAACGCACTAGGAGAGTGAAGCTGAGAGAAAAGATTTCTAGATGGCTGAAGGGGGCGCGAATGGCGTTTACAGCTCGAGTACGGTCTCTAGCAAAGGTTGAAGAAAGTAGGGCATAGCTGCATCAGTTGTCATTGCTTCTTTTTTTGTGTTGCTCGTCAAGTCTGGTTTTGAAGGCATCCATATTGCGTCGATAAGCTTTTCGCTATTTCGCCTTGTCAGGTTAATACTTAATGCGGATTATATTTCATGGGAGTCAAAGGGGTTGGGACTTTCCAAGAAATGAGACGGTCAGACGGTTAGGGCTGGAGGTGGAGGTAATTTTAGTGTGTGTTTGGTAGCTTAATTTCAGTTCCATATTAATGTGTAATGGATTGCATTACGGCCCTGTTCGCGTGAATTTGGCGGTTGAAAGAAGATATGGTTGACGCAACAAACCGCTAGACATATTCTTAGGACTGTTTTCTAGTCTCACGAGTGGTATTTCTATTTCAAGAATTGGTGTCTGGGAAAGTTTCCTCTCGAAGGATCATGAGTGGATTTCCAGATTTGGGATCGAAGTTCCATGGGACATCACAGCGCAGAGGATACGATACAACATACAATACCATAGAAAAACCAATTCAATCTTTGAAATCGTGGATTCTCCCATCATTCTAGGAAACGAGCTCTGGATAAGCGGTTGGGCTTACTTGCTTGTTATATATCCTGAAGGACGATTATCCCCTTGGAATGTTAATCGAGAGGGAGGGAACTCTGCCTTCACCTCTCTCTCTACCTCTGAAGGCTTCTTTTTTTTTTTTTTTTTTTTT